GTCCCCCTGCCCCTTCGGCTTCTGGCGGCTGTTCGCGGTAGCAGATAGAGCTGACGGTTTTGTGGACCTAGGATAGATGGCGTCACTAAAACTCCATATAATAAAAGTTTTGTCCATGATAACAGGTTTTAGACGCATTTATATTTATGTTGGAGCGCTAAGGTTTTTTGAGAAGTTACCTTTTATCGAGCAGGTATTCGCACAACTTGCTATCTTTCTACATGAGCCCCCACTGACGTCACGCCGTGTGTTTTTCATGGCCGCCACTCACGATTGCAGGTCGGGGAATATTCTAATTTTTGCCTTGCGATTATGCGGTGGAATCACATTTTGAAGGAAGGAGGTGTCTTCTCTGTCCTTTGTGACAAGGTGAACAATGTAAAAAGTAGAAGATGCCAATTCTTTCAACGTTGAAATCGTTGTACAGCTTCTTTAATATTTAACTAATTATGACATTACACAACACTTCTGGCCAAGAAAATTCAACAGGCATAACTGACGGCGCATAGAAACTTTAGCACATTCCTGAAGTGCAAAAAATTAACGAGGATGTTAAATCTAATGCTGAAAATATGCAATAGTCGTGACAGTGAACACTAAGAGCAATGCACAGTTCCGAACAAAAGAAATAAGAACGACGAAGCGACAGCCTCTAGCGCTCATCGACTTTTTACAGTTTTCAACAGCATATGGCATTAACTGCCAAGCCTTCATCATGTTGACAATGCAGCAGAGGCATTTCAAATGCCCTATGATGACACATAAAAAATATTTTGTCAGTCAAACACTTCTGTGCGAATCGTGATACTATTGTAATATCGATATGAGGTTGCTTTATTTTTTGTGCCATCACTGGGCACCCGAAACATGCATGCTGCATTATCAACTTTGCGATTAGCAGCAGATGTGGTGAAAAGACTGAAGCCAATAGGCACAAACTTAATTTATTGAAAGTGTCAACCACCTCTCGAAGCACATTACAGGCTGTGCGAGAGGTTCCGCTGACTGTACATGAGGATGCAATGGAATTTGAAGTTATAAGTCTGTTCGATTAGGCCAGAAGCTTTAGGCCAAAAGGAAAGATTTAACTCCTGAACTACTCAAGTGATTGGAATGAGATTTGCAGGGGAGATTTAACATCAGATGTATGTGTGTTGTGTAAACTTTCAGCTCTTTAGCACAATTTGACATACCTGCACAAGATGTGTCACTCATCAATAAGAAATCTGTGATATGCAAATGAAGCTATTAAGCACCATTTTGACTGCTTGAATTTAAAGTGGGTGATGTGGGACTTCGGGCTAGCTAGTTTTTATTAACTCAAATGTAAATATCTCAGGAAGAGTTATTACCTCGAAATATGAGATGCATAACTGCCCTATGTAAGATTTTGAAAACATTGTTTTTTCTCAATGAGGACTTCAACTTAAAACAAAGTGAAGTAGGTAGCCCAATTCCCAGTAAATTGCAGTTAAGAAACATCTTGATTGTGGCATCAGAATACTGAGAAAAATGCACTCAAACATTGAACTCCCTACTGCTTCACATCTGTTGAAAACATTTTATATCAACATAACTATTTAGTGTATGGTTATCAATTTTAGTGTAAAGGTGTAAAATTAGTTCCTAAAACGGAAAACCTCAAATTTGAAAAATAAAGCTTTTCATAAAAATTTAAAATTTAGGCCCCACATCCCCCCCTTCACTATACTCGTTTTCACCTCAAAAAAAAAGGAAGTTTTGTGCAGTGTTCATACACCACGTGGGGTAGTCCTTACAAGATTTGGTTCTCGGAAGAAGTGATGCTCTTCACATTTGAAACGCGTACGTCTTGATAATATAACACGCATCTAGTCAAAAATGCAATTGCATATATCTTAATTGCCTACATAAAGTGGGACATTAGTAATGTTCCACAAGCAGCCAGACTTTTTTTACTGTGGTTCTTGAGATAAAAACAAGTATAGTTCTGTCCGAGTTCAGAGGAGTACAAGGGTCGTGAGGCAGCGGCGCAGAACTGGAGCGAAAGCAGAAGCGCAGAATGTCGTATGCATTTGCTGACCCTTGTTTCTCCATGCTACGTCATACACTACATTAAATTCTTTGCGGTTCAATGAGCTCGATCGTGTTTCTTTAGTTATAAAGTATATAAGTAATTAGGTATACAGTAAAACCTGTTTAGAACGAACCCACGTACAGCAAATTATTGGCGATATCGAACTCATGGAAGATTTAAATAAAAATGCATGTAAAAAGTATGTTTTATAACGAACAACATATTTGCTATATCAAACTTTTCTCCCCTTGGGAAGGCTTCTAAAACGCGCAAACAATCCAGGGTGTCTACCAAGTTAACATTTTCAAATTCCCTGAGTTTTCCAGGTTTTCCCCGAGTACTTCTGTGAAATTCCCTGAGTGACACAGAACTTTGTTTTAGGTCAAGATGGGCTGACACCATGTCGCCAGATGCTGTCACTCTCTAAAAAGCATGTTATAAAATTAAAAAAACAACATAATACAGTCATAATGATAACGAGTAACTTTTATTAGATTCAAAAAGAAAACAGAACGGAGTTGTTAGTAAAATTTATAGCGAATAAAGTATAAAAAAAAAGGTAAACTGAGGTTTACGTGACCCCCCCCCCCCCCCCATGAGGTCATGTGACCTCGGGGGGGTGACGTGACCTAACGGTTACGCCGACGGTGACGTCGCCCAAGCCGGAAACGGGCGCCTAAGAGCTGCGCTCTAAAAGAAAAACAGGAGCAATGACGGGGAAAGAAAAAGGTTAACAAAGACAAGGTGTTCAAAGTGCGATTGCTCAACTCTAGTCAACACACTCCACTTGACGAAATCTTTTTTTTTTTTTTTTTGCTCTTCATTTTGGGGCTAAGGAGTTGCGTAGCGACAGCGGTGTTTGGGGAAAAGAGTGCACGCGACCGTTTCAACAGCGGACACTCCCTGCTCTCCCTACGCGCACGGGTGCCCTTCCCCTTGCTTTTGCCATCCTCCACTTTTTTTTGTTTTTATTGGTTGCTTTTTTAAAATTTTTTTATACAATCGCTTTTTCGCTACGTATCCCCGCGTGCGCGTATGCTGGCTTGGCGGTAGGCCAGCCCCGCAACCCGAGCTATGTGCTTGCCGCCGGTGCAATCCGACCCCGGGAGAAGCGAAGGACGGCCGTGCTTTGTCTTCGTTCGCCACATCAAGTGTCCCCCCATGGGAGTTATGGGCGTTCGATACAGAAAAACGATGTGATTTTCTAGGGGATGTTTGGACTGTTTCACATAAACAATAATTCGAAATACACTGGTGTGATATAACCGGGCTCGACAGTATGTTTGGCCCATTCCATTGATATCTAAAGAATTTTGGACTGTGAGAATCCATCTGTAACACTTTAAAAAAAAAAAGAAAAAAATTCCCTGATAGAAGCACAAATTCCCTGACTTTTCCAGACTATTCAAAATCCCTGAGAATTCCCGGTTTTCCAGGTTGGTAGACACCCTGCAATCGTCCTCTAGCCTGTCCCACCAAAAAAGAAGTAGGAAGGAAAGAAAATTCCAAAAGTTCATGTTGCGAACCAAATTGAGCTAAAAGAAGCGATTCAGAAGGGGAGAAAGTTAAAAAGTACACTCTGCGTGCACACACACACAAAAAAAAACTTTTCATCCCAAAGCGTTTTCCCACGAAGAGAAGCGATTCAGAAGGAGAGATAAGCTAAGAGGTGTTGCTCTAAAACGGAAATAAAGAGATGAGAGAGAAAGAGAAGCTCTTGCCATACAACGAACTCATCGTGGAAGTTCGTTGTAAATGTTTTTTTGCTATATCGAACTACCTGCTATATTGAACTGATCGAAGCGTTTTCTGCTGCATAAACGAATTTGACTGTATCCAGTGTACTAAAAACATTTTCAGTGCGAAATGCGTTTCTGTCTGCATTTATAGCGGTTACCGTCCACTTCCTATCATTTCCATAAGCGTTTGGGTCTTTCAACTGCGTATGCCACGATATAATTTACATACGTTTCGCAACAGTAGAATAATTCCAATTGTCTCTTGAGTTTCGCAATTCGACCATAGGTTTGCGGCATCAGGATGACTTTGCATCGGCAGTTACTGGCGGCAGTGCGACGCTTTGACGTCAAGTATGTAGAAGCATTTATTATGATTCTCAAGAAATATTTGCGTGGAACTACCAAGCTAATGCATATTCTCGGCGTTTTCTCCCGGGCCTGTAACTGAACGGCCACTGATACTAGCGGACAAAGCATACAGTATTATGCTCAGCTACAGGGGCATGTGAGTGCCAAAGTACTAAATCGCAAAACCTCTGCAATTCACCGGAGTCCTCAGTCTGCATCCAAGAACTACTGAATGCTGGGGGCTATCAAGAGTGTAATAGTTTTGCTGTGTCTTTTAAGAAGAATATTGACATAGTATCACATAGCATAATAAAGAAACGATTTACATGAGCCAATCTTTCAACACTTACCACAGGGAGCCAAACCTGAGCGAGCAGGTGCACAAGGTGCTTTCAAACTTTTATATTTGAGCTAATTTCTACCCTCCGTCAGGATCTCACATCCGTGTCCAAGCAGGGGTACACGATTTTCATCAATGAGAGGAAATGTAACCTCTGCAAGAGCTCAGAGAAATTTCACTGCGAGTGTCATCTGCTTCTGCCCGGACGCTAAACTGACTTCGAAACTGGTGCAAGGTTTTGAGGAACTGGGTCTAAACTCATTCAGAACTAGGACAAATCGAATGCGCTAGTGCAGCGACCGTGAATCTTAAAGTTGAATCTAATGCGCCAAGGCCTATAGTTACACAGATATGAAGCAGGGAACTAAGAATGCTAATGCTGGTGATGACAATGTTTAATGCATAGTATGGCTCTGGGGACTTTGGGGATGAAGAAAAAAAAAATGTATCAAGAGAAGTGCACAGCACAATGATGCTAAGCAAAGCTGACACATGGTACATTGAGATCAAGCCTTACCGTGAATGTTATTGCCCCAGTATGGTCTTGGTCAAAAGTATTGAAGACAAAATGAGCATATTGACTAGCATCTGCACCTCGTGGGAAGAACTGTGAATAGATTATCTTGAATGTCTCTTCTTTCACCATTCCTGAAGGGCATTCCTGAAATGCACAAGAAGCATACAATGTTAGTTGGCATTCTACATCTTGCTGAGCCTGGATAGCAAGTATCCCTAACTAGATAGCATTTAGTTTTATCCAAACATTTATCTCTGCATTCTCATTCGCTAGGTTTCTTCCATAATCGGTCAGAATACTTGTCTTTCCACAGGACCTGCATAAACTACATGTGCAGGACTTTGACATAAGAGGTTGACCCATATTGGAATGTCAGAGTCATTCCTAGCAGTTATGGTGCAATCATTTACCAGCAGTGGAATGGTCTATGATGTAACACAGTGGTTCTCAACCACTGATGTCTTGCGGACCCCTTGTGGATCGGTGGAGAGTTTCCCTTCCCCTCACCGTTCGTGGTGAGGAGAATTTACGTTTTCCATGAGATTTTTCTGTCAATCATACAACCGTACAAATTGGTCGAAATTCGGCAGTCTCCCGGGTAATACGGGAGACTTGGCAGGTATGAAATAGTGCCCCGTCATGTATTTATGAACCTGGTTTTGAACCACTTATGACATGCACTTCTTTCCATAGAGAAAAATCATTTCTTTAAAAATATACCTTGCAGGAAATGTATTTGCAGGGCCAGCGAAACATCCACTAGTACTACAGTGCTCTTCCCCATCATTGTACAAAATTTGGCGGCGTTCATACACAAAACAACTGCGATTGTGGGTAGAGTGATAGCGCCGCCGCCCCTCGCACAACCACGTCATTTATGGCAAGGTGTTGGCAAGATGTGCCTTGCTTGCTCCCTCTCTCTGCTGCAGCAGAGTACTCGCCTTTAAGATGATTGAAAGTATGCAAAGTTCCAGGGGTTATGCCTTTGAAAATATTTTAAAGACCTTTTCAAAGGCCAGTAACATTCCGACACTCTGTGAAGGCCTTTGAAAAGGTTTTAAAGACCTTTTAAAGACCAGTAACCTATCCGACATTCTGTGAAGGCTTTAGGGGACTTCAGCGTTGTTTTCTCCACGAAGTCCAGGCAAGGTTTAACAAGTGCAGTACCGAACACCGCAGTATCAGGTGAAACGTTCTCAAGCACGATCGTTGTGGTCCTTGGTAGGAGAACAAATGTAACGGAAAGTGGGCTTGGATGCACGGGCTCCCTACGCAATTTAATTACAGTATTCTTTCACTAAAGTTAACACAATGTTGGCATTCTGTTAAAAATTCTAGTCCCAAACCAAACTGGAGGATGCTGGGAATAACAACGACAGGATGGCTTATAAAAAGATTTGCACTTTCAGTACTCATTATGCCTGTTCCCCAAACTTCGAAAGCGATGCCATTACGACCGATGACTTCATCTCGAAGACTGAACTCAAGCGAGGGGTTGTGGCAAGACAGCTCGAGCCACTTGTCACCTCAAAAAAGGGTTGTCGACAAACCGTAGTCAACCAGGGTTGGGCAGTGTCGCAATAAACAGAAGTAGAATTTGTATTCGTGTATTGCGATACAATTTTTCACCAGTATTATTTCGAGAGTGTTAAGGAGCTCGCGTCGCAGAAAAGTTGGTGTGGGTGGCCGATAGGGTCGTGACATCGGTGGTCGAAAGGGTCATGACGTCACAGCCACATGACCTCGCAAATTTCAAAGAACTCACAACGCTCATGTGAAATGTTATGTCACACGTGAAATGAAAGTGATTTAAAACCCATGACGCTTGGGTTGCAAGCCAGACATGCTACTGACCACGCCATGCAAGGCATGCTTGCACGGCTTGGGAACGAGCGGGAGTTTATATGTTTAGTATATGTTTCGCTATCACATTCCACTCTTAAAGGAAAAGCTTAAGCGTCACCCAAGTTTTTTTATATAACTGTATCGGAGCATATTTTCAGGCGTATTACTGACACCGCAATACTTCAGGGGCCAATGCATCTCTTTCAAATTTTCACGGAATCATTGCCCTCCAGACGAAAATTTAAGCTTAACTCTTTTTTTTCCTTTTGTTCGAAAGGGTGGATGATGCTGTGGAGGGTTCTGTGAAAGTGATGCTGAGGCTTTGTTATTGTAGAGACCAAGGTTCATTTTGTACCTGTCTATTCTGCAGAGATAATAGTTTTCCCAGACTTCAAGTGGTCGACTGTTTTTGTAGAGTCCATAAATTGAAGGCTAACGCATAAGAGAGCACCGGTTTGTTTCACCATGACTCTGTTAGACCACTGCTGAAAGAGGCATCCGGACTGAACAAGAGCATGGTGATGCCTCGAGGCTATTTGAGAGGACACAAAACTGATGTAGAGGTCCATGTGATTTTGCCTTAGAAGAATGAGAGAGGCCGAACAATTATTGAATGGAATGCTCTGCCCAATGAAGCTGTCAGCTGCCATGATCTTAATTCATTCGAGTTGCCATTACGCGAGTGTTTGCCTGACTAGTATATGCACATATGGCATGTTGAATATGTATTTAAAAGATGCACAGGAGGCAACTACCTTGCCTGTGCTAGTGTAATGATCCGTCTGAATGCTGGAATGTGTTTGTTTTGCTTGTACAAACTTTTTCTTTCTCTCCTGCGTTGACTGCAAGGTTCACAGTATCGTAAATAACAATAAAATAAATAAATAATAAATGTGCTCCAGCTGTAAAGCAAGAGCACAGGCAAGCTGGTTTCACACTGACAGCGTAAACCCTGGAGTGAGGGTGAAGAAGGGACGAAGGATACACAGAGAGCTCCGTATTTGTTAGAAATAACAGAGAACATGCAGGAGAGCTGGCGAAATTTTGATATCTTGAACACCCGATACCGATATAACTTGGAATACACACACAACACAGGTCGCAAAGCCATTTTTGAGACCTGCGTGTGTGTTGTCCATGTTTTTGTTCCCAAGTCTCAGCTGTTCAAGATGCTGTCCATGTTTGTCCTTCGTCTTTCTCTCGCTACTGTGCTTACCGTGTGACACCCACCCTGATGGAAAGTATTTTTGAACCCACTGAAGACCTGCTTGCTTCCCTTGCTCCTATGCGTGCAAATAATTCTGCGGGAAATTAATTTCAGATGCAAAAATGTCATCGTCGAAATTCATGCTAGATCTTACAGCGAGTGCTCGTTAGTTGGTTTAAGAACATTTCTCATAAAAGTGTTTATAGTAATGTACAGATCATGTTTTTTTTTTGTTCTTCACATCACTAGTGTGGGCCCCTAATTAGCTTTACAAAGTGTGACAACATATCAAATAGTTTGATCAGGAAAAACATAATAGACCCATTGCAGAAAACCCGGCAACAGTGTGTCTCGACATGGTAACCATGGCAACAGCGAGGCGGTCAGCAGCTGCATGAGATGGTGAAGGAAAGCAGGGCGCAACCGCGCTGTGCGCCAACTGAGCTTTAGGCGCTTCATGTGTTGTTTTAAGGACAGTTTACACGCTCCAGAGTATCAGTGAAGATGCCAACACAGTGCTGTGTCCCGGTCTGCACGCAATATGGATACACTGACAAATTCGGACGGAAGGGAGTACTTATCGGACCGTCCGCTGCCGCAACCGTTTGGCTAACCTCATGAATTCGCATGCATTTGCTTAATAAGAATAATATATTGGTTCTGCATCATACTGCTTTGCGTTTTCTTTAGTATTGCTGTTAGCCAGGTATACGTTTGACGCGGATAAACGAGCGTCGGTTTCACCCGAAGGCTCCGTTGCCTTTCGGCCAGCCTCACAATTTAGCATGCAGTTGCTTCATATACTACGTTGTTATTTCATAGCACATTTCTTTGGTGTTGCTCGGTAGACAGATAGCACTGGCGAGGCTAAACGAGCAGTCGAATTCCCGTATTAGTCCTGCAAACATTTTCTACACTTCAACAATAAACGCGCGAAAAAAACAATAAAAAAACGCTTTACCTTGCAGGCGCATTTTTTTTAATCTTCTTTTCTGTTACTGAGACATCCACTAACACCATTTTACTTTATGCTTTTATGCAGAATTGGGACAGCACAGCATTAGGTTCCCCTTGAGGGCATCTTTTTATGCAAGTTGAGTGGGGAGTTGCAGACAAATCATGCTTTAATTATATTTGTCATGATTTGTCATCATCTCACCATCTTTGTTTTCAGGTTTCATATCTAGCAAGCAAGCTAGCAAGGTTATTTTCCCAGCCGGCGGCAGGAAACAGCCGCATTACTTCATTTGCCATGCCACTTTTTCACGCAGAGCCAGCGGGCCGAAGGAAAAAACCTTCCTTCACCACGGAGAGCGCGCACACTGTTGCCCGAGGCGCACAGAGTTGTCACACTTTTGAAAGGAGTCTATTACTTCTGCCCCAGTAAAATGTACTCTTATTAAAATAGGACGACCAACAAATCCCTAAATCAGGGGCCCAACCTGTTCGGCTTCTTCTTCGGGGGCGACTATGGAGGAAAGGAGCCGCAATCTTCTTTTTCCTTTATGGCGTTGGCCAAATTGCACGATCGCTTCTGTTTCCATTGTGGCCGTTTTTTTTATGACACGTGGTGGAGCCTGTTCACATACATAGATGAAAATATGCCAAGATACCTATTAATGTTTGTTGGCATGGTCTGAATGTGCAAAGATTCAAGGAAGAGCCACCAACGGGGGTTAGTTTTGATGTCCAGGATGTGCGTGTTAAAAAAAGTCGATGCGGTGGTCATTGTTTTCAGTGTTCAGCCACCGCGCTGCACTCTTGACCGAAGTTGCGCACATCAACCTTGTGTTGACGAATCCACTCATGATAGTTCTTTGTTTTGCCGATGTACAAAAACGGGCACTCTGTGCAGGGAATCTCGTACACCACACCTCGTGCTTTGTCTTTAGGGGGCCCATATTTGGTCGTAGCATAGTTGATTTAGGGATTGGTTGGTTGTCCTATTTTAATAATTATTTCACTCAACCAGACAGACTTCTCTCTAATGTTTACTTTCAAATGTACTCCTGTACTTGCATTTCCAAACACCTTTCTATTTATAAAATGTATTTCTAATATATACTGAAATACCTTTTTATAAATATGTTTC